TTATAAGCAAAGCAGCAGTGTGGTAATTACTTAATTCATGGAAAACTTAAATCACTTCAAAAATAAATGTTGAATTGGAAATGCTGCCTTGTACAGAAACTTTCTCTTCTCTTGTGCCAGGTTCATGATTTTAGAGTCGCGATCAGGAGTTTATTAAACCAGGGCTTTTGCTTTTGATTATGAGGATTTTTTTAAAAGACCCAACTTGGTGTTCTGCTGATGACTGCACCCAGAGTGTGGCATCCTCCAGATTAAAATTAAGCTGGTCGGAGTGAGTTGGCAGCAGGAGTCAGAGATCAGGAAAGCAGATCTGTTGTGTAACATTAGGGAGCGGTAGGGACTGTGGCAAACTAGTGAGACACAACCTGTCTGAAGAGAGGATATTGCTTTATCCCTGCTGATGATTGCATGTGGGAGTTCAGGTCTGTGTTGTAACCTTACATCTACAGTAGAAGTTTCCATTATTGATTTTTATGTGAACTCAATTGCTTATTAAATGATGGCACTTAACTCACAATTTAAAAATAATTATGGAAGAGGGTTAAGGTAGCAAGCCAGATTCATCCTAGACTGCCAGTTCACACCTGTTCCTCCAACCCCCTCCACCCCCTCCAGAGAGGAATTGCAGGACTGGTCTTACTGGGAAGAACAAGAGGTGAGATGAAGGGGAACTGCATTAATCCAGAACTTACCTTGGTGTCAGGGTTTGGGCATCATGGAAGGAAGCAAATTTCCAGCAGTGATTCTGCTGAACCTTCCAGGAGGCAGCTGAACAATTGACAATTGATAATTGAAGCTCTGAATAAAAGTGAGCTGCTGTTAATGATTAGGAGCACTGGGGGCTGACACACCATCAGTACTTTTGCTTGGTTCCACTGAAAAGAAGAATGAATGTCTTCTGAGCTTCTCCCCAGTGTTATGAATTGTGTGGAATGTTTGTCCGGGCAGGGCCAGCTTCTAGAGCATGTGACCTGTCCTCAGAAGGCCCTGAATTTCCATGTATGCTCCACCTAGTCATTTCTGAACAAGGGGCCCCATGATTTTGCTTTGCCTCTGGCTCTGCAAATTATAGCCATCATTTACAATATCTACTTCAGGTAGATTGTCTCAATTAATCCTTCTATCCTACTAAAAGCTGCACATTATCATGTTACAAGGGCTCAGAGATGGGCAGTCACTTTCCCAAAGTTACACAGCTAGAGCGGAACAGGAACCTAGAATCTGGTTTGCCTGACTCATAAGTACAGGTTTGTGATGCCATGGTACGCTGCCTCGATTGCCTTGAAGTCTATAGCATGTTCCAGAAACTGTGGGCCTAAACATGGGAAGGTTGTCAGAATACTGGCGGCACCAAAGGAGAGTACATAAGCAGCCTAGACAGTGTGCTATGTATTTCTAATGGTTTCTACTGCTCTGCTATTGTATCATGCTTCCTCCTTTAGGGGCCTGCCAGGATACATATTGAGCCAGGTGACAGGACATATTGAGCCATTCCTTAAGAAGAACAGCAAGAAGGTCTTGTCTAGGTGTGGGCATTGAGGTTTCTGGCAGTGATATTGGCAGTGTCATCACTAATAGGCAGACCCAGTGCCAGTGCCCAGCCCTTCTGCGGTCCTGTGTGGTTGCCGCTTACACACGCAGACATATCAGCCAGGAGTCAGATGCAGCAGATACTAGTGAGCACTCAGCATCTGGTTGGTGCTGCCCTAGGGTGTGATGAGGAGAGGGTACCAGTGACTGTGATAAACAGTAAGAGTGGGGGAGGTGATGTGAGGATGATCATCCTCATAACATTAACCAGCTGCCTTCGGAGGCCAGGCAACATTCTAAGTTTTCTATGTACTAACTCATTTAAACCCTGGCCGCCTCCCTCCCACACAGTACAGCAGACAATATTATAATCTCCACTTACACATGAGGAAACTGAGGCACAGAGAGGCTAAGTACCTTGCCCAGTCTTGCAGAGCTAGTCAGAGACAAGGTTTTATTACTGTTCTTCTGCAGTTGGAAGAAAAATAGAATCACCCCGACCTCGGGACCTTGCACTAAATAAAAGTGCAGTTATAATTGAGTGTGATGGGGGCAGCAAGAGCAGTACACCATGGCCATGATGATTACAGTAGCCTCAATGCAGCATTAACTCATGGCTAGAAACACCTGTAAGCATGCTGCAAGCATTTTCTCATTGAATTTTCCCAACATTATTATGCAATATGTAAATCCTGTTTTAAAGACGAAGCACTCCAGGCCTCAATCAATACATTTTTGGTTAAAAGAGAGACATTTTTTGGGGGTGAAGAGGGAAATGGAGTCAAAACTGCGGTGGGAAGACTGCACAGGACGATGGTGGTGGCACATGGGTGAATTGGTGGTGGGAAGTCCACAGGGATTACAACCGAGAGGAAAAAATGCACAAAATGAAGGATGATATAAAAAAAAAAAAAATACCAAGTATAGATTAAAAAAAAAAAAACAGACACAGACAGAAGGTGGTGGAGCCAGGATTTGAATCTATGATCTGTTTTAGGATAATGGTGTAGAGGTGTTGGTGTGAGGGACTGTGTGGGCCAAGGGCCCTTTTCAGTGGCTCGGACATGAAGCCCCGAGTTCCCATTCAGCCCCTCCTCCCACCTGCCTACTGCGTTGCTTCCCTGCTGAGAAAGAAGCAATAAGACCTGGGCTTCCCCAGTGTGCAGAGGTCCCCTGACGTAGCTGTGAAGTTCCCTGGACATGTGTCCTATTGCATCTACCCTCTGGCCATAATTTCCACCAGCAGGTCTTTGAGTTTATTGCTCTCGCTTTGCTGCCCTCCCACCCCCAGTCAGACCATGGCTTGCTAGGCGCCCATACAGCCCCTGTAAAGTTCTCCTTTGCAACTCCAGTTCGCCTCTGGCTCAGCACCAGGGCTTTGCAATCCTCGTTAAGTCGAGGGAAAGCATTCACACGTGATTCTTACCCACTTCGGCTCTTAACTCTGTTTTCAAAGTTCTGGCTGATGTGGCTTCTGACTCTCCATCATGGTGCCCTGACCTTCATTTTAGTGCTCTGTCTAGAATGCACTTTTTGCCCCTGCACTTGGCCTGGCTAACTCCTTTAGTTCTCAGCCAAATGCGGGGCGTCCCCTCCAGAACCCCTGGGCGAGGACAGCTATTCCCTGTAGCTCATGTGCTTCCCTGATAGCACATTCATTTCATTCTAATTATTTGGTGCAGGTCCACCTCTCTGCCCTAAATGACCATAGTCTCAGGCCACAGAGATGCTCTTGTCTACTGCATCCTTGTTGCCTGGCCCCAAATGGACACACAGCCAGGGCTTGATACATAGCTCACTGATGAAAAACCGTGGAGCAAAGGGTGGCAAGAATGAGCCATTCTTTATAAGCCCCAAAGTGCTCTGTTGTGGTCTTTAATCACAAAGTGTTTCAACTGCCCGCTTCTGTCTGCTTACCTGGGAGGTGGACTTAAGCCCGAATTGCTGTTTCACAGGCCTGTGCATGAAACAGGTGATTAAGGTAAACTACATTCAAGGACACACAGTAAAAAAACACCGTAACACACCTTGTCATCAATTAACAGCTTTGCCTCTTTAAAAATCCGTTCCCAAGACGA